AGACACGGCTATGGCAGTCCATGAGATGATTTGCAAACCATGTGAAAAAAGAAAACTCCCATCGAAGCTCAGCCTACTTACGCGTTATGTAGATCTCTCGCAGTACTGCACGGCAGGGAAAAAGTCTCATAACAAAGTTACAATAGTTCTTGTGGTCAGCAACTTACACTGAGCTTCTTGATGTTCTTGCGTCTTGCAAAGAATCCTGACGTTCCAAAAGTACTCACAAATACATAAGCCTGGTTGGAATTCTAGTCCATACACAGTCAGAAAGAAAACCACGTAAAAGATTGAATTACCTTTCGAGAAAACATGTACCGTGTAGTTCACAAGCGCCAGTGACTAATGTACACGACGTATGGTTCACACGATGCTCAGCAAAATCCTCGACAGCAGCGATGAATTGCTTGTGCTAGAGACGAGCTCCTTCTCCATTGTTACATAAGCATCTGCAAACGCCTGTGGGACCCAAAACACTCAAAAGATCGGATAGATTTTACAAAGGGAAATACCGGACCTTCGTGCACTGCAAAATGCGGAAACAATTCCGACCGACGTTATTCATAGAATGCAGCGGATCTTCGATGTGAAGTGGATCAATTCTGTCATTGAAACACAACTTGCCAATCGAAAAACACATAAAGAAAACATTTCATACCCATGAAGTCGGTCCCTATTCACGTACATGCCACCCCCTCGAATGGAGATGCACATTCTTCGCGGATCAAAAACACACCTGTCAATCTACGGTCACTACTTGCAAGGACGCCTTGCAAAAAAACACTTACCCATAGAAATGCAGAAAATCCATAAGCAAGCTTCCTAAGCTCTGCCAAAGAAAAAGAGACAAGAAAGATTTCAGATGTTTCAGTCGTGCATGATTGTGAAAACCTGAGTTTGTGAAGGTCGTCCGAGATGGTTTTGGTGTTGAAGAAATCTTGTGATGAGTAACACCTGCATATAAGATATTAGAGACCAGCCCACTCACTAGCTTGATTATACCAGACAATACGAACTCAAGCCGCCTGTATACGGGTGGTCTAAGCCTCGGTCCATCAAGAACTGCTTCAATACCAATGCCAGCGGACTGATTGCAGGAAACTGGCTGACAAGCTCTTTAACCTGGAACTCCCAAGATTTAGAATAAATTGCAAATGCAAAAGAAAAAACTTACAAGCTCAGCCGTAAGCAGCCCAGAGTGCGACGCTGACTCAAAACTGATGTCAAGACGAACAAGATGACGGTCTTCCTTTGTTCCCCAATGTTGTCCAGTGGCCTCCCCGTCACTTGCATATTGAATAGGAAGAACACTATCGGGAAAGCACTTTGCCACCAGCATGATTATCGGTATCTGAAAGAGAAAAACAATCACGTTGGATAGTCCTAGATAAAGCTTACTGTTGTGTTCTCGATCGTCTTGAGGGAATCACTCTTCACCCAATCCTGGTCAGCAAGATATCGAGCTGCATGCTGTGAAGTCGTGTCAGTTTGGAGTTCACATCTAGCAAAATACACAGACACTCACTTGCAAGCATGTCTCTTTTATTCCGTTACGTCCTTCTAGTATCCCGGCTTCCTTGATGGGTTCCTGAAGTCCATAACAACGAGTTAGCAGTATATAAAAACTTTAGGTGGTGCTACTCACGAGATTTCTCACGGGAGGCAGGCACACAACTAGATCAACATCGCTGTTGGGAAGAGCGAGGCCAGTGGCATTTGAACCAAAAACCTTGGTCCGTGACCGGGGCCAGAGAACCTGTAGCGCATGCGTGACTTTCTTCACCGCAATAGTAATGAAGGGCTTCCGCTTGGCATTCTCAGCCGCAACCTGTTGGATAGCACTCCATAAATATAACTATCGGCATTTGCATAGATAACGCTACCTGTAAGGAAAAAGCCTCGATCTCTTTGTGAAGCCTGGCCAAGACAGTGGGCATTGCTGGATATTGCTTGTGCAGCAAAGTCGTTTGCATGGGAAACGCGACGTCTGGCTGCAAGACAAATATAGTCAGATAGTAAATGGAAATTGTTGCCGACTTACATGTTCTTGCTCCAAGGCCCGAGGGGGAATCGCAACAAGTCTCTCCCGGAGTAACGGATGCATTGCTGCCGTAGGAAAGCACCTCCTCCATCCGTTCGCTGGCAGAATTCCCTCGGGAGTTAAGGACTTGAGCTGGTTGTCAGGCCAGTTGAAAACTCCCCAATGCCGTGGACTAGAGCTTCCCGAGCGAACAGTAGGAAATCCTCGCCGTTTTCTCACACCAGCAATAGGAGACGGCGGAGGTGGCGGTGGAGCCGGCGGAACACAGCGAAGAACCGGCGACGGAGAACGCTTGCACCGGACAAAATCCCTGCGCCCGCGAGGTTCGTGAGGACTTCTCGCCTCGTGACACTTCGAGCTGTCCAGCTTGGAATTCTTTGGCTCCCGCACAGCAATAGGCGGAAGAGCTGGTGGCGGGATGTGCTCCGGAAACTCAGCACTACTCTGAGCTTCGGCAAAATGGTCCAGCGACCCGGAAGATGACGAGGTACATGCCACGGTTGACGGACCGGAACTTAAACCCGAGTAAGAGGCAGCTATCGGCGGGAGTCCAACAATGTCGTCCACGACGATGGTTAAGTCAGCCTCACGGCGAGCCCAGCTACTGTCTTCGGAGCTGAGAGATCCAGGCCGAGAGTATCCCATGCCAGTATAATCTGCCGAAGTCCAATACATTACTCCTCCGCCGAAAAACTGGTTATAGTCCGTGTCGTAGAGTTGTCTAGGATCACCCTCGCTTTCGGACGTCCGGCACAGATAATCGTCGGAGTCTCCACCTCCATGTAAATCCTCGCGGTCAGTATCATCCGCAGCTGTTTGGTCACCGTCGCCACCATCTCCCGTCGTCACAATCGTAGCCAGTGGAACCGAAACAAAGCCCGGAGGCTCGTCTTTGACCTGTGTTGTAAACCCGAACGGCGATGCGATCCCAAAGCCCGGTTGAACCATCGGTGGCCAGTCCCAGCTAACGTTTGCCGCTTTCGAGAGAAGGCTTCTTTGCACTCTGGAGTCCACTTGTCCGTTTTGCCGAGGAGTATAAGCAATCAAAGGTGGCTTGGAGCGGTGCCAGTCTCTGTTCACGTCCAAATGTAGCCACTCAGTGGCTAGTGGTCGACCGCACGAATCTGAGAAGCGACTTTGTGGTGCTCCAGGCCACTCGTGCGAGGAAGACATGACGGGCGGTGGCGGATGATATGCCTGGTTGTTCTTCAGGTGGAAAGGCACACTCTGGTGTTGGCTTGAACGCTCCGTCGTCGGCTCAACCTCCTGTTTTGCCATGTCCACTGTCGTCACCCCTTCTGTAGCAGCAGTAGTAGAGCTTTCCTCTTCACTGCTAGCTTTGCTCAAGAAGTTTTCCACACCTTGAGCTTTTTCCGTGTTCTTCGCTCCAGAAGGAATACACGTCTGTTTTCCTGATGTTTCTGCAGCGTCATGCTTGACTTTCTTGTTTCTCTTCTTCCTTTTTCCCGGAACCCAGCCAGTATCTTGGCACTGTTCACTGACATGGAGTGCGGCCATGTCTTTTGCACTTTCTCCGATCCGATCCTGCCAGTAGAAGTTTCACGATCAAATTTTCTTTCAGAAAAGCCATCGTGCTGTACCATATTGTCCGGCTGTGCGCTCTCGTCTTCAACGGGATCGCTTCTGTGAGTAGCAGTCACGTTTTTCTTCTGCTTCTTGCTTTTACTCTTTCGAGCTTTGACCTGAATCTTCTTGGCTACTGAGTTTTCCCTAGGAACGCCTTTGTTCCCATGGTCAAGAAGATCGTACTCCATATAATCCTTCATCACCTTCATCAGTGTGTTTCTCAAAACTTGAAGAGCCGACTCCGAGTGACTGTGAGCTTCGTGAAGAGATGAGTAAACAACTCGCTCGCTCAGAGTCCATCTCAAGTCGTTTAAAAACTGGATGCCTGAGCAGAGCCTTCCGAATTGTTTGTCGCATACAGTACCACCATCCGGAAGTCGCAAACTTCTTTGCTCTTGGACCATGAGCGCCTGGGCGTCTTACAAAGTTATGATAAGAACCACACGAAAATTCCTACCTCGTCGGTGGAGAGCTTGGCAAGCGCAAAATCGCAAGCTTTTCGCCTGTCGTTCGCGTGAAGAGTGCTCCACCACTGCTCAAATCCTTGTCTCCTGGTACAAACTTTCGAAGAAGTGGTGGTCGTCTCAAACGCACAACGCGCAAGGGACCGGGAAAGCGACTTGGATGGCTGCTTGGTCCCAAGAGCAGTGATCCAGGCCGACCATAGCGAGATCTCCAGCTTGTTCGCGACGAAGGCTGACAAGCTGTAGTATCCCACGCGTTTGAGCCATGGAGTTTCTTCCCACGGAGAACCACCCGACAAACACTGCGTCGCTAGAAACTCCCCGTAAGAGATCTCGTCCATAACTCCCACCAGCCGCTCCACATTCTCGAGAAGCTCGTAGCTCACCGTCACGCTATCCAGCGACGATAGCCTTCTAGTCTCAGCTAAATCCTTGCAAGCTTCCCCGACGCGGGAGCTGTAGAGTCGCAAGCTCGTAGCGAGAAGCTCCCCGTTAGAGCTCTGTCTCTTAAGAAGACCCCTGGCTTTCCGGAAGCACAGCCCCGGAAGTGGAGGAGAACTTTTGGACAAGTTCGCATTTTGCTGCCGATCTTTCGCGGCCGAAGGAAAATCCGGGAGCACGAAGAAGAATCCGGGGCCCTCCGACTCCAAAGCCTTCTGCATTTGGAGGAGTAAGGCCACCCACGCTTCGTCCACGATCGTGCAAGCAATCTGCCGCTCTTTAACGCTCAATCGAGCGAGCCATTCCACGACCCTGTGCCTATCACTCTTACCGGAAGACGAAGATTGCTGCCGCTCTAGCTGCCTCTTCCGGCAGTGATAGACGGCCATATGATCCGTCAGAGCATCCAGGAGCTGCTGCGTCTCCATTTCCCACTCCCCACAAACCTAGAACCTCAAATGTGACCGTAGAGGGAGGATGGCTCCCAGGGGCAAATCCACATTGTCTTTCCAAAAACCCTAAAATCGCGAAAAATGAAAACTTAGGGTTCTTGAAAAATTGCCCCTTCTTTCAAAACTTCTCACAATTGCTTGGCGGAATAGGTGCTGCCGAGCTGCCAATTCGCGGGCGCCACATTGTTGTGCACAGTAGTCTTTCCGGTACTGTAGCAAGTGACCATGAACGAGAGACTTTGGCCCTGGAGCTGCTTGAAAACTTGGAACCCTACGCCCCAATTCCGCGTCATGGCGATCCATCCCGTCCTCGATCCCTTCACCGACACCGCCTTGATATCACCGGAGCCGCCCACATTTGTGATGAACACCATGAGCCACCAGCGATTGCCGCCCAGCTTGAAATTCATGCCGCCGGATCGCACGCATGGCACCCTGACAGGAAAGTTTTCAAACTTTTAGCTGAAGAACCCTAAAATCTCGCGCGTTTTTCTTCTCTCACCTTCGATAGGAGACTGGGATGATTCCCGCCCGCCAAAACGCGATTTTCATGAATGCCGGCTTGGACATGTCGAAATGGACGCGCGGCGGATTGCACCAGCCGCCATTGTTCGAGGGCTTGCTCCAATTGGGCGGGCAAAGATTTGTGGCGGTCACCACCACGGATTTTCCGAAGTAGCAGTGCTTCGATAGCGTGCAAGTGATCTCGTAGCACTGCCCGCAGCCATAGCCGCTGTTGAAGAGCGTACTGCTCAGCGCCGCCGTCATCAATCCATAGCCGGATTGGTACAAATTGCCATAGCCGCAAGCTCCACCTGCGCAAATTTAAATATGATCTCGAAAGTTTCTTCTTTACCCATTGTCTCCCTCGCTGTTTCATCGCCATAGAACGTCGCGAATGCCTGCTTCCACCCGCCGGCGTTGTAGATCTCCTTCGCGGCGTTCGTGGCCCGCTTCTTCAAGCTTTTGGGCGATGCCGCTCTCCCATGATCCACAGACACGAGAAGAGTGGCGCAGAGAAGAAGACACGCGATCACACTCCTCATCATCAACGATCGATTTCGTGTAGAACCCTAATAGAAATCGATCGCAGCATTTCTCGATCTTGCGCGCACGAACTCTAGGAAGAGCTCGTGCCACGATCTTCGATCGAGTCAAACTCTCTTCGCCCGGGAAGTTTTTAAAAAAATATCACACACGTGAAAATGACGTCGCGGGGGAAAAAGTATCGTACATTTGGAGCGCTACGAAGCGGCCATGTTTCTACTGGAGAAACATCCAAGTGATTTCCAATAATTTGTCCCCAATCGAAAATGTCCAGCCACGAATATTTGACGCATGGCGATTCGGCGAATATCCCTCTTACATTTAGTTTAGGTTTCCTTCTTTTTGGGTGTAGGGCTGCCCTACATTCTTCCTATTCTCGAAATCTGACCAGGTGAGTGATCGATTGCGCCAATCTCCGGAAGCAAAATCCGTTGCCTTGCAGGAAGATCGATCGCCATGGCAGAGAATGGCGCCGCCGCGGCGCCGGAGGAGGCGTTTGATTTCGATCTCTTCACCATCGGCGCTGGTAGCGGCGGAGTCCGCGCGTCCCGCACCGCGGCGAATTTCGGCGCCAAGGTAGCCGTGGTTGAGCTCCCATTCGCGCACGTAAGCTCGGAGAGCGCCGGCGGCGTGGGAGGGACGTGCGTCATCCGCGGCTGCGTCCCCAAGAAGATCCTCGTCTACGCCTCCATGTTTAGCGCCGAGTTCCAGGACTCCAAGAACTTTGGCTGGAACGTCCCCGACGGCATCACCTTCGAGTGGAAGCGATTGATCGCCAACAAGGACAGAGAGATCGAGAGGCTCAACGGGATCTACAAGAGGCTGCTCACCGGGTCCGGCGTGACGATCCTCGAGGGAAGAGCGAGCTTGGTGGACGATCACACTGTGGAGGTCTCTCACAGCGATGGCTCCAGCAAGAGGTACCGCGCCAAGCACATCCTCGTCGCGACTGGGAGCCGCGCGGTCCGCTTGAACGTCCCGGGGAAGGAGCTGGCCATCACCTCGGACGAGGGGCTCAATCTGGACGAGCTCCCGCGGCGCTGCGTGATCGTCGGCGGCGGCTACATCGCGGTGGAGTTCGCGGGGATCTACTCCGGGATGGGGAGCAAAGTGGAGCTCCTCTACAGGAAGAAGACGCCGCTGCGTGGATTCGACGACGAGATGCGCGCCGTGGTGGCCAGGAACTTGGAGAACCGGGGCGTCCATCTCCGCCCGGATACCAACGTGACCAAGATCGAGAAAGTTGGCGGCGAGCTCAAGGTCTCGATTGACAACGGTGGCGAGATCATGACCGACGCGGTGCTCTTCGCGGTGGGGAGGAAGCCCAAGACGAGCGGCTTGAATCTGGAGGAGCTGGGCGTGGAGCTGGACAAGTCGGGAGCGATCAAGGTGGACGAGTACTCGCGAAGCAGCGTTCCCAGCGTCTGGGCGATCGGGGACGTGACCAACAGGATCAATCTCACGCCGGTGGCGCTCATGGAGGGGACGTGCTTCGCAAAGACGGCGTTTGGCGGGCAGGCGACCAAGCCCGACCACGAGAACGTTGCGCGGGCGGTGTTTTGCCAGCCGCCGCTGGCGGTGGTGGGGCTGTCCGAGGAGGAGGCGGTGGCGGCCGCCAAGGGGGAGGTGGCGGTGTATAGCTCCAGCTTCACGCCCATGAAGAACACCATATCCGGGAGGCAGGAGAAGTCGGTGATGAAGCTGCTGGTGGACACTGGCGATGATCGAGTGCTGGGGGTTGCGATGTGTGGGCCGGACGCCCCCGAGATCATGCAGGGGATTAGTGTGGCGCTCAAGGGCGGCGCCACCAAGGCGCAGTTCGACTCCACGGTGGGGATTCATCCCACCGCTGCGGAGGAGTTTGTGACCATGAGGAGCGTAGCCAGGTTCGTGACCAAGTCTGGGGAGGTCCGGAAGCCATGAAAATGAAAAGTTCGAATAATAGGAATTTTAACTCTTATTCGTTTCGTTTTTAAATTATATTGATTTTATTGTGGTAAAATAAATTAATGAATATTCTCAACATCCCCTCTTGTAACCCTAATTTTCTGCCCTTTTCTAGATGTCTTTGTTAAACCCTAGGAACGAGCACCTCGCCGTGTCGCGGTCGCGTCGCTCTCGCGGTCGGATCTTGCGGCGCAGCTGCTGCCACTGTAGCTGCTCACGCGTAATCTCGATCCAAATTGGCGCATTCCAGGCCGGGATCGAATCAGGGGCGATGGGAGTGGAGAAGGGCGGTTTAGTCGCCGCCGCCAATGCATCTAACTATTTCAATTATGAATCACCTAACTATTGCGTGGAGCTGTTTCCAGAGGGCCATGAGGTGGATAGAATGAGACTGGTGCAAAGCATAGAACGGGAGTTGTCAAGCAGCAAGACGTGGGTGCTTGTTGACCGACGTCTTGGCATGGAGCCCCTGTGATGGACAGCGCCTGAGAATCCCGCTGGAGCTTGTGAAAACGCCTGATTGTGGCCTCCTATTAGCTCCTGGGAAAGGGGTGGCCACAAGATGAGTTTGAGGTGCAGATGGACGCAGAGCAAGCATTCATCTTGAAGAATCAAAAGTGGCTCTTCTCTTCTGTCACAGGTTCATGGGAACATCTTGATTCCATAACTGATGATGCCGTTTCCAGATTCAAGCACACCAATGCATCTCCCATGAGTGATCCTTTCTCTCTGACGCCGTGGCAGTATTACCGGAACTGGGTGGGCTTCCATGTCTACAAGGGAAAAACCTTTGCCATAGTTTTGAACTCGAAAGTAGATGTTAACATTTGAGGTTTTATGGTGGGAACACGACGAATGGCAAAGCCTGGATTCACATCTTAGTTATTGTCAAGGAATAACACGCTTGGGCCATGGGTGGCCGATGCATATGCATTTGGCAAAGGAATGAGTACGACTGTATGGGTAGTATATGACTTGGAAGACAAGGTGTGGCATTATCACTCGATCGAGGCTGGCTGTCAGTCGGGGGGTATTACAAAGGTTATGGTTTGCAATAGAGGTCACCTTGGGAATATTGCTGATTCCTTTGTTGCAGTGATTTTGACTTTCCCTCCATCCTCTGGTACCATAATGTGTTATTTCTTCTTTCTTTTTAATCAAAATAAAGGAATATAAATGGGTTGATTATTGTATAAGCCTCAAAGATACCTCTCTTCTACCATAGGTTCTCTTGTAAGTATGAGTTTTTGTTGATCTATTGACATGGAAGAGTGATTGTTTTTCTTGTAGATTTGAGTCTGAGATGACCAAGAGGCTTGCTCAAGATCACACAGGCATGTAGCACTTGTTGTAGAATTGGATTGTGGCTCAAAGTGCTTCATCAATTTATTTGTCCAACACCATTCTCACGATATGCTCACTCATAGATCCCACATCTCTTAATGTTTGTTACATATCATGGGATGATAAGACAGAACTCAAGAATAGTATATGAATTTCATAGCTCCATCCAAACCACTGTTCAACTAACATTTAATGGTCTTTTTGGGGGATATGTTGATGGGGTTGCTATGTTAAATGAGGTGTTGAAGATGTATTGATTGCAAGTGAAATCAGCTAGTTGGTTTAATATTTGCATCAGAAACTTGCTGACACATGTAAATCCCAACATTTCTGAGCCACTCAAGTTAGGTGTATTCTATCATGTATGTATTAGTCCTTTGTTTGTGGACATTGATGCAATTTAGAGAGTCTTAGTAGTGTTTTGAGGTTGACCATATTGTGTAATATTCATGTTATGAAGAGGTGTTTTATTATTTTAGTTGTGAATATCAAGAGTTATACTATCATTTATTCCTCTTATACCATATCCACTCTCTTTCACAACTTATGGTATGGAGTTGATAGAGTGTGAGAGTGAGAAGCTTTTGGCTCAATTCCAAATTTATTTGGTCCCATTAATCAGACCAAGTCCATTATGTAGACATGGTATAGCTTGAGATGTATGTCTTTTTAGAATAGAACCTTGCTTGTGATTTCCTTACAATAAATAGTAGTTGAATATATGAATGAGAAGTCTATCTTGAGTCATTTGCAAGTCATATAGTCTATGGGCAGTTAAGTCACAGTTTATTCTCAAACCAGATAGGACTAAGTGCTACAATCAACTATTACCCTTTAAACTATGTTATGGTGGTTGATTTGTATCATTTGTGCAAGTGGAGATGTTTTTGAGAAAGTATTGGAGTTTATAATGGCCTTATATGAGGGATGAGGGTGATTATGGCACAACTCACAAGGGCACAAAAGAGGTATAGTGATTGATTATAGTTGGCACTTACTATTATAAATGGAGTTGACTAGTCAACCACTGACCACATAAGTGATAAGTGAGCCAATTATTTCATAATGTTTTTAATTATAAAATAAAAAAATGACATTTTAGGATAGAAAAAATAAACTATTAGTAGTAAAACTAAACTACTACTAGAAATAAATTAATCATTTCTGACACCTTTAACATTTTTCTCAATAATTCTTATATCTTCATTTGGAAGATCTTGCGTAACTTATATCTCTAAATTTTTCATATCAAAATATTTAAATCTAATTTATATCTCTATAATCCTCAATTTTTATGGCTTAAGCTTGATCTTATTGAGATTGATCTCCAAGAACTTCACTTCTTTACTTTTAACATGATCCACCACTTTTGTGTTGTTATGCACATAAATTAACTTCTTTAAGTCTGCAAAAAATAAGTGGCTGAGTCATTTATATATTTCAACTACTCTAATTTTGTTTATATAAGAAAACACCCTTCTTGATTTAACACATAAAGTGTTAATTTTCTTAACTCAGTTATCTGATACTTGTATAAATTCCACAAAGATAGTAGGAATTTTCTTTTTACTTGAGTTTTAGCAAGTTTGGATTGATAACTCTTCTAATTCCTTATTGAAATATATTAAATTACTCATCCAATTTTTTTTCCAATTAAATATCTTCATGTTATAAAAATTATAAATAATCCATCCAAAAACTTCTTACTTTAGCATTCAAGTCTTATTCAAAGTATAAAGAATTTAAAATATGTGTAGTGTTGTGT